ACATCCCCCACATATAATGGCAAGATAATTATCCAAATTTGCCGAGTATACCCCCGACGTAAGCTTCAAGCCGATTCGGCTTAATTTGGTGGCAGCCGTGCTTTCGCTTTGCTCCAACTACAAAAACGAACGCATATCAATGGTAGTGACGTTGCCGACTGATGAAGAGGTTTGCAAAGCGTTCGATCTAGGTGCAACTTGAGTCGCGTTGTTGATAGCACTGGGAAGCAGAAATGCTATTTTGTCTAAGTGCGAATGCCCACCTGCATCGCTATGCATTATCACGAGGTTTGCTATAAAAAGGCATTGAGATAGATGACAATTCGCGTATAAGTGGTCCTCTCACGATGGAGACCTCGAGTACAGAATATTGTACGAGAAAAAGACGCGCCCGGTAATACCGGCATTGTGATCTCCATACGTCACCTGAGTATATAGTTTATGAGCGAACTTGTCACTGTCAGCGATAGTGTTATCGGTGGGGATACAGCCAAGCTCTTTCTCATCAAAGGGTAGCACCAATATTGCTTGCTAATAGTCATCGTTTCGGACATTGATTCACGCTTTATAGTAACGTTTGGTCGATTTTATTCAAAACGGTGAATACTAGGATAAACATATACATCCCTGAGCATCCACAAACGGATGGCCAGAGGAATCGCATTTACTTCGTGGTGGAGGATGTCTTTTAAAGCACTTGCGTGACGGGGTACTAAAGTAAGCTTTTTTATCCATTAAGATTGGTTTCATAGCGACTAAATTGGATGTCATGCGAGTGTGCGAAACTGTGGCTGAGAGCCAGGATGGATGAAAACAGCATGCAGCTGTCAGATGTAATAGACATGCAATCAAATGAATAAAGTAAGGTATCATATAATGCCGTTTACCTACTAACATATGGTGTATAAAACTATGTTGCGACCACGCGACATCGGACCGTTAATACTCAAATTGGCAAAGAGACTGGGTTGCCACGCACTGTTACGTGGATCCATATCTCTTTTAAAATATCGAAAGGAATGTGATCACATCATGTTTGTAACGCGGGCTTGCTCAAGTTAAATCAGAATTTCATTGAACAATCCAGTCCGATGCGGTGCACTCTGTTAAAGACTGAGCAGCGATCCACCATATATGATAACCGAGTAATTATAATTTACGGTGGCGATACGGCTCTGGATCGCTGGGGGTACATAAAGCGATATCATAGCTCCCATAGCAGATCAGAAGTTGATGACTACCGTACGGTGAGATTCGCGGAATCCGTCAACGAGCTGCCATGACCAAAACAGAACGCGCGCGAGACAGAGAGCAGCGGAAAATTTATTCTCACGGACACTGCACGATGAGCAAGGTGTGAGTCACTTTCGATTGGATTGGATCGGGTGGGCTATTAAGGTTTCGAATTAGTATCTATCGAAGGTGAAGGCGTACCTACACGTGAAATACTATAGTAATTTGGAGGGCCGCTCACGACCTGGCGCATCCTTCATATTTGTCGCCCCGAGAAATTAACACACGGTCGTCCAGCGCAACGTGCCTTCAACGAGCAAGTTGGACCCGGCATTGTTTCATATTGAAGGCCTAACAGGGAACTAGATCAACATGATGACCAAAGTTGCTGACAGCAAGAGTTTGATGTGATGAGATTCCAGCTCGAGTTCGATGTCGTGTATTGTTTTTTGCAAAGCCAAGTATTTGAGGCGTCCCAATTAGACTGTGCTTCGCTATAGCGGATTTATAATGCTGTAAGACAGACCACACAATGAACACCTAGTGTGCGCTGAGTGTGACACTCTTCGGCTGCTACACCAGCGTTCTGTGTCAAACAAAATGATAAGAATGTTATGTCTGCTGCTTCTCTAGTGCAAGGAATGCTCCTGATACGTTGTGCCCTGGATAGTTAAAAATGCTCGTGTGCTTGCTTTTGAACTCTTGTTTTGCGCTCTGTGTAAGCGGAATATCTGAGCTTTGAGATGTGTATGTGCTTCGCCATGGCGCGGCTGGCGACGTTTGATAGAATCAATGTAATGGAGTTTGCAAAAGTGTCCACAACCCTTACGCCTGCGGCGGGCAAGTATGGTTCACCGAGTCAGGTTTCGCCCATTAGGAGTGAGCTTTATGACGTTTAAACCTCACAGCGAAATATCACAAACTGGGAGCTGGCATTTCGTGCACAACTCGTGCAGATGTATGGAAAGCGTACAGGACGCCTCATTTTCAGTAGTTGGTTTTGCAATTATAATCTCGATGAAGGCAAAGGCGCAGAATAAAGACGACTGCTCTTATCGGAGAAAATTGTGATCGTAGACGCCCGAGAAGGCCACGCCAACCCGGAAACTGGTCACGAATCGCGCGGAAAAAGACTTCATGATGAAGATGATGCCGTTCAATGTAGGAAGTAATGCTGCGATCTTTTGTACGTAACTCTTACACGATTGGTACCATTTAACACATTTTGCATTACACTTGGAGTGATTGCACTAAAATCGGAATGTTGTTATTCAAGAAGATGATGGTGATCCGAAAAGGGAGAGTCAGGAGTACTCATGAGACTGTTATATTTAGCGGGACGTATGTATTTCGTTAAGGCTACAAGCATTTGCCCTTAACGCATGTACCCTCGAAAGTCCAGAGCAAATCCAAAATCTTGGTTACTTTGAAAACTCTCGGTTCCTCTCTTGATAGGAGCGTACGAACCCAATTTCTGTGCGTTCGTTGAAGCGGGCTCTCAGAGTCAAAATTCTCTCCGTGCAATGTGCATGACAACTCTAATGCAAAAAGCCTGTAAAGTTCATGTGGGAAGTCCAACTTCACACATAAATATTTTGCAAACTTTCTCACAAATATAAAGTAAGTGCGAGTCAGAGTGTGTACCACAAGCTTGGGATCGACGGTTGCATACCGTTTTGTAGTGCATGAGAAAAGTAAGCTAATGTGCAAGATCCAGAAGTATCAAAGAAACACTGAAACTAAAAAAAGTTTGACTCCGTTGTAAAGAGGCCCGTTGGACACGCGGGTTGCAACTTAACATCAAGCAGTACATACTTTGGTCGTTGAACATAGTAGGTCTGAGTTTGTCTGAGTTTGGTGAAATTTTGCTATCCTAAGGCCCAGACTATATGGGAAGGCAGAAAATATAAGCAATGCACACAACACAAATCGCCACACATGTTACAACAAGTGCATATACGTACAAACAACACACACCAATCAAGTATGCCGTAATTATCATCAGGCATTTTGCGGCAATCATATATTCATTCGTACCCCATCATCTATGAGTGTCGGGTCGTTGAGAAATAAACAACGACACGAGTCGTGATGTTCTTACACAGCGACTTGAACTTGGGGCTACCAGGCGAAAAGCTCCCTTCGCATAAACTAAATGAGAAGATTGACAAAAGCAAACATACACACAATAACAAAACACCACAACTGTGCATATATTACAATCAGCTTATATACGTACGGGCACGCGTACATCCTCAACATCAAGCAAGAAATGCCCAGCCAAACTTTGTGATTGTTTTATTCGATTTGAGAGGAAGGAGGTTACATAATTTTGTAATCATTTTGTCCTTTTTGAGAGGGGTGGACACATCAAAGATATTGATATACAGATGAAGTTTGTACAGAATGTAGTAAAAAGCACGACGTTTTTTCACCAATGTTAGATCCCAGGTGTATCGGGAAAAAGCAATCTGTTGCTATCGCCTTCACCAAATCGAAAGGCAAAGCGTATATACGGAAAAACGACCCGCATCAAAGGAGAATCTTACTTTCATCATGTATAGAATGGCAATCATCGATGAGTCCCAATACTATCATATCTGAGACGGCGCCCAACGATAGAAAACAAGGTTTTGCAAGAAAGTGAAATAATGATTTTTCCACACCAGCGGTCGACCTCAGGTCTGGTTTGTGAGATTAGTTACCCTTCCAATTAATGAAGAGAACATTTTTATTCGCTCCCGAGATGCTGGGAGCGACACAGCTTGTGGCCGCTTTGAAACTAGATTCATTTTGGCGTCGACCTATACTTAAATGGTGTGAAATTGATACACAGCAACGACGTAGAATGAAATTCGAAAGGATCGTGTTGATGCTGCCGCGTAAGATTCCAATCCGAAATTGATGTTACTCTTGAGATTGAAGAGCAAACGGGCATACAGGCACTCAAAGAGCCCTTGGTTTCGCTCCCGGATAAAATGTACGACCTGATACTCTGTGCGAGTATTAATGCAGAATCATTGAGTCAAAGCTTTCTGACCGCAAGGTGCAAGGCACACCTGTTGCAAGTGTTTAGCAATTGTTGACGGTGCGAGATTTTGAATATACGTCACGTCTAGAAAAGAAGAACAAAATAGTGTCTTTCTTTTTGGAATTCTTTATGGGTGGCTCGAACGAACTCATCCTCGATGCGCTCAAAGCTGTTTCTGTGCGTGACGCACGGCAATTTCGTTGCGGAGACTTTAACACCAGTTGTTGTCATGACTCTTATCCTTGCGGCACCACCAGTCTACTTTTTGCATGTCATTGCAATGTGCCAAAGTTCACAGTGCACCTAGTGAATTCATACAGTTGTGAAGCTAATTCTAAAGCTGCCAGTCGTATTGCGTACTTGTCAAAATCTGCGCAAAATCTTTTTCCCGACCATCACTGGCTGACTGATCAATACGTCTCTCGATGAGTGCCTTGCGCAACCAGTCTCTAAGGTTCACGTGACCTATATTTACAAATCTTGTTCTGCAATGTGCTGCGTGATATGCTGATCGGGCGCTATGGGCTGTTGTCGACTATGCACGATCATTTTTTCTGAAATGTTAAGATGTGCATTTAGTATGCGTCTGTATTCAAAGCTGCTTACAGTTTGTCTCGTGGTAGCAACGTTTTTGCATGTTAGGGGATATACTTTTCAAAGATTAATTTATGTGATCTGTAGAAAAAATCCTCTTAGTTCTAAAAATCTGGTATTTTTATCAAATTTTGCCGACCTATAATTGATCAATTAACATAGGGATCCACAAATAAATTTTAACAGTTTGATTATAAAGCAACAACATTCCGACCTCTTAGACGTCATCATTTAACCCACCTTTACAACCAACACGAACAATCGGCATAGGAACGCACCGAGGAAAATTACCCGCGACGTGGTCTTGTCGATCGATAGCGCGAAATGAGCGATAAGCCGATGTAATTGGTCTCTATTGTACAAATGATTCTATCGGCTGCCGCGGTAGCATTGAAATTTTCATTACATGTGACGCGAATACAAGTTGTAACTGTAAGGGCTTAGACGGGCTGATCTGATCTGCTTGTACATTCCTCATCATGAAGTTGCTGTCTTTATAAAACATGCTCGACTTTATCAGGTTTTGCGCGTAAGTGTAGCGATGTAGAAATCGTTTACCTGATTTTGTCTTTAAGTTGAAGATAATAGGAAGTCAAAAGGCATTGCATAAGTACAGCAGAAATGGTTTGAAAATCTTGCGCTCAGAACCGTCTCCTATGTTTTTCTTCTGGTTCTTAAGTGTATGGATTTCGGAAGTCGTAGTTTGTTGTAAAATGTGATTTGGAGAAAAATCACGTACATATGATGATTTACCCCAGATGCCATCGCGTCGGTTCGTTGAAGAAAACATCATTTTCATCTCACACAATCGTACCTCGTTGACTTGATATTTCATATTCGTTGTAAGTCGAATGTCAATGCTGAAAAATACAGACAGAAAGGCGAAGGAATTGGTTCCTGCCCTTTTATTTATGGTGTTCGTAAAACGACTTACACAGTACTGTGAATCATACACTTACTACTAAGTCTTTGCACGCTGGAAAGGCGATACTATTGATTTGGGATGCCTGCTGAATTCTTAGGTGCCAGCAAATGGTGGGCCTAAACAGCAGCGAAAATTAAGGCTCTATAAGATTACAGATTACATGGTAATCTACATGGGACAGGTGGCCACAAGGTATGGTGTGTTTGTTACCTTCGGGCGACAGCTCATTCACCTTATTCTATAGTACAGTCTAAATAATAGAGGTACTTCAAGTATCTTGCGTCGTATGACATTTCTACGAGAACTTTAGATAAATGTGGTTTTGAAGCTGGCGGACCACACACATATCAGCGGCTGGCACTGCCGCCCGAAAGCGAACTGTACACGCTATGATACTGATGTTGCTAAACGAGTTGTTTTACACAAGAAAAGGCAGAACGAAGGGGCGGCAAATGCAACGTCTGGTAATTGGTAATTATATATGCACAGTCAGTAGCTACTACGATGTATTTTGTCGGCTGTTTATAAGAACAATTACCCATGCGGTCGCACCGCTGGAATTGCTAGGTTCCGTTTCACCATGTCAAGTATATGGACATTTAAAAAAATTAAATTTCAAGACGAGACCCTACCGCTAGCGGCTGGGACATCGTCTATAGATGGGAATGTCGATCTTAAAAATAACCTGTCAGAAAAGCCGTGAAATCTGGCTTTCCTTCTAAGGCGGTTTTCTTTCACTATCCATTCAATTTTATTGAGAAGAACGTATCGGAAAGACTGCACTACGGCGCGACACTCAGGTCACCGACCCGGCTACGCCCCATACGTTTCTGCCCTTGGCAGAGACCGAAAATTCCTGCATAAGGCCCGTCATTCCGCGATCGTGTGTGTTCGAGTGAGAACAGCTCTATACAAAGCGCCAGTTATTTGTTTCCTCCCTCTCTTGTTTAAGTTTGCGAGAGACTGTAACTAGTAGGAATTTGATAGATGCAGCGCCAGCGGGTCACGCTCTTCTCATCCGAGGATGCCAATGCTATGGCATTGCGCGAACGCTCTAGAACAATGCTTGGGTTGAGTCACGGGCTTGGACGCTACGAGAAGCGCGTACAGTCGTACAGCATGCGCCCTAGTACGACCGTATACGGTCAAGACGGGGACGATTTATTTGATGGTTCGGCTAGCTGCTCCTCTGTGACAGAGCGCAGCGGCGTCAGTAGCTTTCAGCCTAATCGCACGCGGCTTAGCGTCTCGCCTGACCTCAGCAATGCGTTTGATGATATTTTTGAAACGGACTGGGAAGGTTACATATGGAAGCAGGGTCATGTTGTGCGATCGTGGCGCTACCGCTACGCTGTGTTATCAGGCACAATTTTTAGCTACTATGTGAGCAAAGACGTAGCTAAAATGGATACTGAAAAGTTTCGTGGCCGTGTCACGGTCACGGGCGCATCGCGCGATCCCAACCGCTCGAATGGTGTGCTCATTACCACGACCATTAACAAGATATTTGCTATGTACACGCGCTCGAGCATCGAGTGCGACATTTGGGTCAAGATGCTGCTGCAAGCAGTGCAGAACAATCGTAACCAGAAACCAAGCCAGAGCTTCAGCGGCGCATCGAATGGACGCGATTCGGATCCTCCAGGCGGACGCATGAGTTCGTGGAATCCTGCGGCTAGTGGAAATACGTTCTTTTCGTCTAGCAGTGTGTCGCAAACTGTTCGGTCATCGGGGGACTGGAAGGCTCGAAACTTGGCTACTGTTAAGCAATTTTACTCGATGTGGCTGACGCAGTTTCTGGATCAGACGGGTGTCGATGACTCGGCAACTAACCTGATCTCGCTGTTTCCTATCTGCTCACCGGAGATGACGGTGTCTGTTAGCTATCCGTGCGAGTTTCTACCTTCTTCTAAATTTTATGGTCGAGAAGGTCTGGTCGAAGTTGTCTTGGGCTTCTCGCGTTTTGTGCTTTTCAAAAAGTTCACGGTGGCGCGCTACATGACGACAAAGCAGCCGAACGTGCTGCAGGTGTTGGCTGCCGGTACCATCTGGAACAAATTTCTCAAACGTGAGTTTTCGTTCACTACGCGTGATGAAATTCAGCTCAGTCCTGGTGGCCGCGTGCTTAGCATTCAGATGCAAATAGAAGTTGATATTTCTGCATTTCAAATGTCGGACGCTGAAAGAAAGGCAGCTAAGGCAGAACGGGCATTTCAGGCATCAACATCAAAGCGCGTGTTGTCCCTGTCGATCCAGCACTTCCATGTAAATCGTGTCCTTGGAAAGGGTACTTTTGGCACGGTTGTGCTCACAGAGCGCAAAAATACGGGCGAAATTTTTGCTGTCAAGATATTGGAAAAAAGCTCAATGTCAAATTACGACAAGCTGCGTACCAAGACTGAAATGCGCATATTACGGGACGTGCATCACCCATTTATTGCACCGCTACGCTTTTCGTTTCAAAGCCAGTCTCGTGTTTTCCTAGGAATGGATTACTACTCTGGTGGCAGTCTCTACACGCACATGAACCGTTTTTCTAACAACAAAGAGCACCGTGTAAAGATCCCACTTGATTTAGACCGCGTTAAATTCTATGCGGCCCAGATCGTGCTAGCGCTATCTCATCTGCATGCTTGTGACATTGTATATCGTGATCTGAAGCCTGATAACATCATGATCGACGTTGAAGGCAACATTGCGCTTGTTGATTTCGGCCTCTCCAAAACCAATGTAAACCAAATGTCGGGTGCTCGCACGATGGCAGGGTCTCCAGCGTATACTGCCCCTGAGCTACTGAAACCGAAGCGCTCGCGTGACTATGGCAAGGCCGTAGACTGGTGGTGCCTGGGTATTCTTTTATACGAGATGCTTCTTGCAAAGCGACCGTTTCATCATCTAAACGTGTCGGTTTTGTATAAGCTTATCGAGAAAGAACCTGTTAAATTCCCGTCTAAGTGTGGTCTTCATTCGGACGCTCGAAGTCTTATTCTTGGCTTGCTGGAAAAGGACCCAAACAAGCGTCTTGGTGCACATCAGACGAGCGACATTCTTACACATCCATTTTTCAAGGATGTTCGGTGGAATTTAGCTCTCCGCAAGAAGATCACTCCCCCCTGGGTGCCGCCTCCGATGTCAATGGATCACGAGCGTATGAAGAGCCCAGACATCAATTTTGACAAGTTTCTGGCTTCGAAGACGACGTCCACGGGCAACATTTTCAACATCATTTTCCCTTGGAAACACCCTCACACTCGGCACCGCCGAGCACGATCAGAAATGGATTACGACTCGTTCGGCAAGTTTAGCTACGTGAGCGACACATCCAACTCGTTCCTTGTGGACGAAGACGAGATGCTTGACGCTGCCTTTACAGGCCGTCACAGCGTCCAAATGCATTCTTTGGCAGGTGAAGCCTGAACCAACTAAACGAAAGTCTGCGTCGTCGTCTTATCAGCAGATGCACGTAGAACACTTTTGAAAAGGTAAATTATTTTTTGGTTAAGCTTTTTTTGTGCATTTCCTTGACGATTAAATGTTTAGTCTTGGAAACACTCAATTTTACTTTTATGGAAGCTTACTGGTCTTTTAAACAAATGTTTGCTGCATTACGCCCGTTGCCTCCCGTTTACTGCTTTCAAGAAAGTTTTCAGCGGTACTCAAGTAACAACTTCGATTGAAGACGATAGGCCTCCCCATCCAGAAGGATAGACCAACTAATGCAACATCGTCGGCTAGTGTACTCGTACATACAGCCGTGCGATGTGGTCATATCAAGTCAAAGCCAATTTTGCTTAAACTGGGGATGGTCTCGACGTTAAGATGTAAATTTATTGAAAAGTAAACCAAACTTATTGATAATTCAGTCAACTGTGAACCAGAAGTTAATCATTTTCAAAAACATTTTAACAGAACTCACAATTTTTTTGATAACGTCAAAATTCCGGATCAGGGTTACCTGCTTACTACATCAACGTAGCTTCAACATCAAAGTGATGGTCTTCATTTTGACTTAATGCAAGAAATGTTCGAGGTGCAAATCGTGCGACGACGAAACGTGGGTTCCGGGCTTCAGGCGCTGCGTCGACGTTTCTACATGGCTGTGAGCGATCAGAACTTGACAATCACGGTAAAAGCACCGTCGCTATGTTCCTTTGCTGTGCTCTCCATCTCGTCTAAACGTATCAAAGTCGTGCGAGTTCGGGGAAAAATACTGCGTGTTGTAGCTGTCAGCGGTAATGCTCTTACGTAAGCGGTATCGAGATATTTGAAGTTTCGCTTTCATTTAGTGACGAAGCGAATGCTTTATACTCTAGAGTTCGTTTGCGAGATCAGACGATAGCGCTCCGCGCTGCCGAAATCATGATGAATACTTGGGGTGTGTCTGCAGTTATAATTGCTCATAAGTTTTCCACTGATGATTTCATTTTGTATCAGGCATTGACCCGCTTGTGGAAACTAGCGATGCAAAGACTAATAGAGAACCCCAATGTGGTATAGATGACATCATAAAGTTCTACATGAACGACTGTGAATTTCGGCAGCTGGTGCACGAAATTCATAACCACTTGGAATCGGTTTTGTCTCGGGAAGGTTGGGTCGCCGACGTATAATTGTCATGATAATTTTGCTACCAAATCATGTCTTTTCTGAACAAAAAATTGAGGGCTGGAAATTGTTCTGGTTTTTGCTGACCTCTGAGCGTAATATATTCATTTGATCGTTGAGAAATAATAATTTCCTTCAAGAACTGGACATTACGTAATCACTTTCGATTTCTTCTGACTTATTATTTGCGATCTGCCTTCAGGTTAGGTCAGTTACATTTGATGAATTACAGCTTATGCAAACCAGAGAGCACGCTTGCAGACACATAATCAGGACTAGCGGCAGCTTTGCTATAGTACTTGCAAACGCGGTATTTGTGAAAAAGCATTCAGATTAAAAGCTAATTTGTCTATACAAAGGGTTAACCCTTTCTTTATAGTACGTAGGCCAAGTTTGCGCGCTGAAGGGTCGATTAAGCAGTAAAAACTTTGGGTACGACTGATCGTTTTTTTAAACTTTTGAGCCCATTTGCTTCATAACTGACAAAGGTTCTATGCAAATATGATAACGCAATTTTTGTTTTTGTGCAAATTGTCGAATGTCAATAATCACCGTTTTATCTCTTTGGGCCTTTTACCGCATGCATGGCTCCAGAATAGCAGGAGAAAAGTGTCGGTCCGCAAAAGTTGGCAGAAGTTGATTTTTATCTCCATTTTTCGCAACCATACTTCTTCATCAATGCAAGCTCGCAAAGTGTCTACCTAATATGAAGGGAAGCCACAAATTGCTGTGATGCTCAATTTGGTAGGCAACAAAGCTTTAGTATAAATCTGCGCAACGCAAATAGATCAAAATTAAGTAAAGTTACAATTGAAGACTGAACATTCTACCTTCATGATTTGATACTTACGAGCCGTCTGTGTGAAATTACCCTGGTAAAATGCACGCTTGAGATACAGAACCAGTCAAGGACTATCTATCAACTCGCCGAGCAACGCGCAAAGCAACGCAACAACTTCTGTTCTTCTATAATTACGTGACCTTTTACTGTTCACACTTCCAGAAGGCTGGAGGCAATCAGTGCCTCCAGTAGCGACAATATGTTTTCAAGACTGCAAGCAAATCTTAGTTGCGTGAGCACTTCAAACAGATCAAATTTTCGTATAATGCTGATCGTCAAAATTCTAATCTGGATAAAGAAGAACCATTATGGTACCCTCATCTTCCAAAAACGTCAAGGTTATTTACCAGACGAGGTATAGAACAGTGAACAGTTTGGTGCAAGAGTCTAATTTGTTGTGCAGGATCGTATCACAATTCAGGAGCATAGACTTTTGATGCGACACGATCTCCTCTCATCATTCTTCATGGGCGGGTGCTTGAAGGAGTTATCAATGCAGACGCGCCTAATGCAATAGTGATTTTAATTGATCATTGTTGATCATGAAGCAAACATATGCTATAAATTTCATCTCGCTAATCCTTCACAAAAGTACTGATTGATCTTACCCTTTAAACAGGAAATATCAATCAATGTTTTTTGTGGACGTTGGCAGGCAGCATATTTTGAGAATCCAGCAGCAATTTATGAGCTCAAAATGACTTCATATAACAAAAAACATACATATTGAGAAAACCACCGATTCTGACGGATGTTAATGTCGACTTAAGGTTCAGAAGAACTAATTATATGAGCTCGAAATGTCTTGTGCAGATGAAAAAGTTTGTTTGACATGAGAGGCACCATCAGAAATAAAGACATCATCATCTCTATCAAACAAACGCTATGGCCAAGTGACACAAGTACCAAATCTATAGAATTTGCGCAGGTTCGTGATTTTATAAGCCAGCCTTAGCCCGCTCGTCATGTATGTCACTCAGGCAGAGAATATTTAGAAATCTTTATTCTCTTACTGGATCTCTAAACGTTGATGCACTTTTGTTGCCGTGCACGATGCACTCAAGGAAGCTTTAAATGAAAGACTTCGCGTTATCTGATTCACAGAGAATGGATTCATACGCCAAAATCAGGAGCGAGAGCCTTTTCAGTCAGCAGATTCCTTGTCAATTTCAAAGTGACATATCAAAGTAAATACAAATATATCTGCTCTACTATTTCCACTATTAACATTGCATGACGTGCGGCTAAAAGCTCATGTTTAAACGATCCTTTCCGTTATGAAGACCTCGAATACGACAAGTGCCTAATAGTGTGATGTGCAAGTACAACCTAATACGGTGCTATAACCGGTAACGGTTCAAATAAGTCAAGCACCTTTTTACAAGATTTCGTTGAAAAAGATCGAAACGGTGTCTTTGGATGTATCCAACAATGACGACGTTAATCATTGACATCAGATAGGACAATTCACACCAGTGAGGCTGAACAAATTCAACAAATGTCCACAAATTTGTCAAATGCTACTGCTTCAAAGCTGGAATGTCGATGAACGAGTCACAATGCCTCATATATCATCAGAGTGACATCAAATTTCACTCTGATTACCCTCTCTCTTCCAAGACAGTATACGTTAATTTTGCTACAAAGTGTAGCTGGACTAACATCAGCGAAATGATTTGTAGATGTGGCTATCCTTTCCAATTCAGACCAGTGCAAAGAAAATGCCCGGAGAACCCATGGGGTATTGTCTGTGGAAGTGCGAAAAATGCTGCATTACGCAATAGCCTTTGGTTGGAGCATAGTAATTCAGCATCGCATTTACTCAACTGATTGATTTGTAGGATACAAGATGACCGGGTTCTGTTTGACTATCGAGAGGATGCCCGAGTGTCTCTCACCCTGAACACGTTCGCCAGAAGTTTGCCGACGGAATACAATCGAATAGGCAGACCAACTTGACGAGGAAACCTGTCGGACAAAGCCTGACTGTATTTTGATAAGGTGCCTGTAAAATTTGATCAATTGTAGGCAGATCAATTTGGCAAAAATTTTGTCTAGAATTCCTTAGTTGTATATGCTCACTCCGTTGACAAATACCTTATATTGTCGGTGTCTTAAGAAAATCATATATAAAGCTTGCACTGATGATTTACCAGAACTCTGTCGATATAGGCGAGACATTTGAAATGGGCAATCCCTTAATATGGACTTTACGTAAACGAGACTTTAAGGCGAGAGTTTATTATATTTTGTTGCAGAATTCATTATATTTTGTTGCATTTTTTAAGCAATAACAAAATATAACGAACTCTCGCCTTGAATTCTCGTTTAAGTAAAGTCCATATTTGGAGTTTACATTTTTGCGTTAAATGTAATGGTACGATGTGGAATTGCTGAAAAGGTAAGTATTTTTTATTTAAAAAACTGACAATGAATGTGCTATATCGGCATATGTTTTGATCTTTACTCGCACTACTTTTTGACAATGTCAAGCCATTCTCCTCAATCTCTTCGGATTGTGGCACCTATTAATCTTCCGGGGCCTTAATGTTTGCGGCATTCCATTCTCTTCAACGAATCATAACAAATAGCCGATTTGACGACACTAGCAAACACCCTGCGTACAGTCAAGCACTATTGTATGTTCAGTATGGATGTCTCCATCTTGCATCTCGGGCTCTGCATGACTATGGACTTATATGTCACCGCAGCCGGTCTATTCATATGCATTTTTTGACCTTAGCAGCTTTGTCACCGGGATAGTTTAATCAATGTTCGGCATGATACAATCTTCAAAACATTTCCAGCTACTTCCAAATATCCAACTCGGAGTGCATACTCGCATAAGTGAGCGGTGAGAATCGCCGAAAATGATTTAATCGAATCCGAAAGCTGTCTGAGTACTAACAAATTACTTTTGTTACTCAGTTTGTTACATTCGACCAGCGAGACGTCACGAAGCAGAGCAGATGAAGAAACGACTAGAGCTAAGATTCCAACGGAAGCTCGAAGAGTCGTGAAGCGAAGTTCTTGAAGGGAGGCGAGGGTTCAACAGGGAACCCGTGGCGAGGCGTGAGGAGTAGATGTACTCCGAAGAAAGTAAATTGGAAAGTGAGATTGAAATGGTTAGAGGTCTAAGAATCCTGGTTCACTAAATAACCTGTAGCTAGCTAGTCCAGTTCTTGTCTCTTAAACTAAGTATTGAAGATTCTTGAACGTACTTGTAAAGAATCTTGACAGTTTGATAGGTTAGGCACCGAAAGCGGCTGAATTTAACCGGGCCGTGATACGAACCGTAGTTCATACAATTTTGAATATAAAAAGGATGCGTATAGTTGAAGTTGAATTTGAACTACAACGTGGAGCGCAAACATGTTGTTGCTCCAGCCTAGCACGTGTCAGGCTGGCCACTGAGTGGCTAGTTGAAATACTAGCGTGACGCTATAGCGTCGTTACACAGTTTGCTCAAAGACCAAGGTCTTATATTACGAGTAGCATGCGGTGAGATCGTCCTAGCATTTCCAATACAGAGTTACATACTTTGTAATGCGGGGATTAAGCCCTGGTAATCGTGGCTTACATTTGCCAGAGTCAACTGGGATTCTTCGTAGAGATGGCAGCTCAAAGCCATATGTACTCAAAATAGGTTAATTTCGAGAGCTATACTGACAAGTACCGTACTTCACTAAATAAAAGCCACTCAAAAAGATCACTTTTTTCTGATTTTCGTTCACT